CTTTACAAGAAAGCTGCTCAAGATTCCTCACACTTCAGAAGGGTACTTTTTCTTTTTGCACAGAAGTTTGCTCAGGTTTTATTTCTTAAAGAAAATAAAAGGTGCATTCATCTGTACAAACTCCTTTTTTTTTTCCCAAAAGATGCAAGATTTTGTCATGTTACCAGTGTAATTCCCATATTTGCTAGTAAGGTCAGGCAGGGACAACATTATTTTTTCTTTTTCATAACTGCCATGTAAGAAAATTGCTTTTCTACACCATGGGTGGGATCCCAGCTGTCTAGTCTCCTTCTTAAATCTTCACTATCTTTTCTTGCTTGTTCCGTTTCAGTTTGTCCTGGAAAGGATGTATGTGGTTTCTATCCTGAGCAACGAGGATGGGGTCCACAAGGCACAGGCATCCAGAGAATCTCTGGTGTAAGCTCGTGCATCAAAGTAAACGCGTAAGAACCGTGGGATAAGCCTTTCCCTTTTATGCCTATTGCAGGCAATGTTGCAACAACTGCTCAAGACTTCTTATGACTTTGGCCTAAAAGAGGAAAAAAAGTATCCAGGCAGAGTAAACCAAACCTACATCCAAAAGTTTTTTGCCCTACCAGGAGTGCTACATGACCTGACTGTATTATGGATGTGAGAATCTAGAATGGAAATTGTAAAAAATGCAGGGGTTTTTTTCCCCTCTATGAAAATGTGTTGTATTGCACATCAACTTCAAAATATGTTTAATATCAAATTATCTTTAAATTAAAATGCTGTAGGCTATTTCTGTTGGGAAGTCAAGGCTTTGAAAATTCTAATAACATGAAACCAATGCAGGTAGTTGCTTGACTGCAAGAGGCACAACCCTTATCATGCTAATGACAAGTCAGATGGCGCCAATCAAACAATCCTGAATTATTAAGGTCTTACTGTACATTCCCAGGCTGTTAATATCTGTTAAGATTACGGCTGCATTATACTGAGTGCTCATTTCAGCAGGGGATTAGAAAGTACATTTATAAGGCTGGCTACCCTTTGGGTGGATTGTGGTATTTACATACCATTTGTCAGCATGAGATTACAGAATGATTTATGCTTTTTTGCCTAGACCTTTCAATAACTGCAGCCACTCCAGTAAACTACAAAGCCAAAACTCCTTTCCAACCTGACTTTGACAATTCAGCTTTCAGAAACTATGTGCATTTTCAAAAAAGGATGAAAAATACTACCAGTCACTGGTACAATTAGGCTTCACAAAAAACACCATTTGACTTGTCACATCTCAATCCGAGTGATCCATGCTGGCCTTCCTAGCAAGAGTGGAATGGAAGAGGGAGGTTTGCTTTGTGTAAACTAACTCATCTTAAACTGCATCAAGAAAAGCGTAACAGTCATTTCACTGTTTCAAAAAAAGAAACAAAAACTGCCACTTACTCCCCCAAAGCCATACCTTCTCTCCATTACCAACACCCAGGTATCCCAATTCCTTCTGCAGTATGCAGAATGCAATCAACAAACCAGAAAGCAGAACTATTTGTACTTGTGTAGGTTGTTACCTAAAGATAGTTGCTGACACATTATAGACATGGTAGTGAAAAGCAGTAAAGAGCACCTAGATATATGAAGAAATTTGATTCCTCACCAAAAAAAATAACAGTGTAAAAAACACATTGCTTGGTAACACTTGATTTAATAGCTCTAAAGTGGCAGTGAAGAACATAAGGATTTAATTCAACATTACCTGTTTAGAGCTGTATGGAAGGCATTTGAATGAGTACTACATAGTATTTTAAACATGACATCAAATTGTAACACCCAGACCAACAATAAACAGTGCAAAATTGTAAGTATCTGCAAGCAATGTCATCATCTGTGTGTATGTCTTTATGTGCATCAGTTTGCCTTCACTGGGTAAAGCTGTCATGCACCAAAAGAAGTGTGCTTGATTACTATAGCATAAGGTTCATTAAGTTTCACTGTTTCAGAGACTAGGAACAGTATGGGCAGGAGAAAACTCACCAGACTGAGTTATCCCTTAATTCCCAGCAACTTTGCCTTTTACTTTTTATAAACCAGCCAAACCTTTGATTATGTTTCATTAAGGGAGTTGGCTGTGACAGCAAAAGGAAACTATGATCTTCTATTATAAAGTAGATTTCTAGGATGATATGAAAGCAGCTGTCATGTATTAAATCAACACTATCCTGTCTGCCACTTTATCTGAAGGTTTTGTCCATTAGCTACATGCCAAGACCCAATTACAAATGGAATACAAATGGAAAGGCTGAGCAACAGAAGTATCCCTCACTTCCCCTCCTATTAGTTAGTAGAGGAGATACGCTAAACTGTAGGGACATGAGGGCTATTAAATGCTGCACTACAGCACGAGCCCAAGAGAATGTACCTCATAAATATTTAAGTGGCAGCAAGAATGGCATGAGATCAAAATACCTTGTCTGCCATCAGGTCTAACAGGTATCCATGCCTCCTGAAAACATCCCCTTAGTGGGAGAGGGCACTTGGAGGAGAATCAATTTCAGTTATGATACTTCAATACCATCCTATCCCCTTCCATGGTAGCAATAGGAGATACTTCAGAGAGGAAGGGAGTAGACAGGAACTACATGCTTGTCATTGAAGTACAAAGATTTTTTCCTTTTTTACAGCTTCTGTAGGTAAACACAGCACGGTTTCAAAAGCAGAGCATACAGTGCTTGAATCTATCTCTGTAACTTAGCATTTGTTTCCACAACACTCAGGCTGGTGATGACACAATAGCGCATTTCCCCGTATGTACAAATGAAACAAGAGGTAGAAAAACTAGCATTGGGAAGTGAGAGAATTGGAGAGGATATAACCACTCTATAAACCAGCCTTTGACACCAGGGAAGTGTTTGTGCACCAGTCCATTAATTCATTCCAGGAAAGCTTAGGTGAAACTGGCACTCAAGGACAACATAGTAAGGTTTGCAGACAAGTTTAACCACCTAAAATAAAAGAGAAAAATTCTTTGTTTCAGGTCACAAGAGTAAGTATACACCAACAGATCCTGGACCACCTATTATCTGGACATGTACCTTCCAGGCCTGTACCTGAATGGAAGAATAAAAGAACAATCTCAGCTGAACTTAAAGAAAGCAAAGGAACATAAATCACTCTTGCATCCAAGACAATTCTGTTTTGTTTCTTTAACTGCAAAAATACTTTGTATCATTTTAGGCTATAGCTATATTGCTTAGAAATCCTGCTGCATGTGGGAATACAAATTCCTCAACTAAAAAACAAGGCTAGTTTGTCCTGTAGAGTTACAACAGTCAAGGAACTGTAACAGGCCTTGAACTTGAAGGTCTCTCCTTTGCAGAAGTGAAAGACAACTACACAGTGAGCCCTTATTTATTCACTCACTGCAGAAGGAAAGCACGCCCTCATTTATTTACTTACTCCTTCAACCAGTTAGGCCCCCAGTCTTTGGCTGGGAGTTTCACTGACAGCACTGTAGATGCCTCCTACAGCTACAGGAAGACAAGAATACTTAGTAATTATCACCTGTGGTTCACATTGAAAGATCCATTCCCTCCATGACCTAGAAAATAGTAATACTGGTTTCTCCATGTAAATGAACATTAGTGTTTGTTTCACACAGTTATATCCCTTCATCAGGGAACTAGAGAGAGATTTGTAATTCAAGATGTCCCTTAGCTGAGGAAGGATGGTATGGTTCTCTCCTGGACTGCAAGGATGACAGCAAAACTAGATCCTCGTAACCTCCAGTGGGAAAAAAAACAAACAACAAATAAAAATAAAAGTTATTTGGTTTTTAAGGCTGATGAAAATAAACTTTATGTGTAATGCCGATACAAAGGTCTTCCCACATATTTGTCAATTTTCCAGCGTTCTGTGGTACCCTCCTCTTCCCACATATTACACAACTAAAACACACACCCTGATAACTGCTCCATCATATGCAAACAATTCAATAGAAAATGCTCCTTAACTACCAGTATTTATCCTTCAACCCTCCTGTTCCTCCCCCTTATGGTAAGTAATTTTTTGTCAATTGAAAACATAAACATTGTGCTAAACACTTTAAGAGCAGCATCAATCCAACAAATCTGTTCCATTTAAGGCAACACCTGGTTACCCAAGACATAATCTGGAAGGCCTCATATCTTTAATTTAGCATGAAAAAATTCTTATGTTCACCCACATACCCAAAATCTAATAAACTAAATCTAAAACTACTGTCCCACCTTGACAGAAACTTGTTTTTAGGAAACAAGGTAAGTTTTATTTGAAGTTAAAAGGATGCACATGAATACCATAGTAAAGAGTGTAAAAACAAAGTCATTCTCAAAAAATCTGGAAAGGGAATATGTAATTATTGGGTTGTTGCCAAAAAAAAAAATCAGATTCTTTGGAATATATAATAACAGATAAATTAAAATAATTCTAGAACATTTCCCAACACTAATAAGCCACGATATGTCAGATATCATGAGGTGAATACTTGTTATTTTCCTTACATCTGAAGCAAATACAGTGAATACTTTAAATGCTACTTCTAAAGCATCTTCAATTTATAATTACTAAAGTGTCTCTGCTTTGCCAGTTCTCCAGAGAAAGGTCTTCTATTTGCTATATAGAAAGGAATTTAAAAGGGCATCAAAATGTTAGACTTCTCACCAGATATAAATATAACCTCATTTAATTAGGGAAACATTTTGAGATATGTGCCTTGGAAGTAGAGAAGTGCAGGGTTTTTTAAATACCAGGAAAAAAACAAGTAACATTGTAAAACATTTAACTCAAAATCAGAGCAGTTCTTTAATAATCGCAAATGAACTTTTTACAATATCAATTTCCTAACTTTCTGGGCACACCTCCTGGTAAACACTTGAGTGTCCTCTGTGAGTTACAAAGAGTAAGTTTCCTGTTACACAGCTAAAAAAACCTGGACATTCTTAACAACTTGGCATCACGTCATTTTTTAAAAAACAGATCACACAATAATTTAGACAGCATTTATAGCATTATAAAATCAGAATTCCCCTCTTTAATCACTCACAAGAGCAGCTATTAAGAAAACAACAGCTTTAGGAATACAAATAATGAGGATGTAAAACTATCTGTGCAAAACTGCATTACTTTTACTGTCTAAAATTTCAGGGAAGTAACACCGCCAAAAGCAGAGAGAGGATAACAAAGACAAATAGACATGAAAGTAATGCTACCTTAGATTTCAAACAGGAATTACATTATGAAGTAAATATTAAGTAAAGAAAAAAAATAAATTTGATGGCACCTCGAACAACAATGACAAATGTCCTGGAAATTGCAGTTGAACAAGAACTGATGCAGGCTCATGTTAATGTCTCTTTCAGGAGTAGCGATTGATTTAGGGGTATCAACTCTAGCATTTCTTTCCATGCAAAAATCTATCTTTCCAACATCTTTGCTTTGCGGGCTACTAATGCATTTAAGAATGAGCAGTCTTTTGAGGAGTGTGCTTTCTTCCATGCATCTGAAATCTTTAAAACAGCTGGATCATTGATTCCCTGGATTTCCCTACTCCAATCCATTTCACTGCAGGAGAGAAAAGCAAACTTTTATTATAAGTAATATGAAGCAAGATCAGATTGTATCTTAAGATACAAATTTATCTTCTTAAGTGCTTAAGATCTTAACTACCATAGTCTGAAGAAAATACAGCATATACTACTAGCATGTTAAGAAATTATAACTATGTTTAATATTCTCAAAGTAAGAATGCCTTTATAACTTAGAAAGCAGGAGCGGTTTCAAAGCTGCCGTAATAAATAAATAAATCAGTTTCCCGGATGATAGGAAAAAAGATACACAGGAGCTGTCAGTAAAGATTTGCATCATCTCCTAATTCCCATGGATGGAACCACAGGATCATCTTTATTAGGGACCAGGGACCATAAGATAAATTTGTTAAGCTTACTACCTCTTACTGTCAAATATATTTAATCACATTAATATACCAGTAGTCTCATTGACTTTATAATGGCAGCAGAATTAAAGCCCTATTATAACCAATCTGAAAAATATTTAAGCAAGTTATAAAAATCTCAGTTGAACAAGAACTACAGTACAAGCCAAAGAAAGAAGGCATAGTGTAACTTTTGAGAATTTTCAATTCAATAGCTAAATAGATGGCTAAGAAACAGTGAAACAATAACTACAAGCATCGCCAGGTACATCAGAATAAACACAGCTACAAACTCGTTTCCAGTATTTTGAATGCTCCTTAAGGCAAAGCACAAGATAAGTATAATGGAGTAGGAAAAATTCAAAACAATAAAATCTGTTTTACTTACCAGGAACACCCAACTCCATTTCTATAAAGCGAACATAATTTTGTGCATTTACAGGCAGCTCATCAAACGTCCTTGCATTTGAGATGTCTGTATCCCATCCTGGGAGTGTCTCATACTGAACCTCTACTTTATTTAAGACTTCGTGGTTGGCTGAGAAAAAAACAGAAACAAAAATATTATGTCTACAAGATGATAAATCCTCTACCACTAAATACATACAAAGCTTTTTCTTATTTTCTTATACAAAGAAGTTTACTCATAAGATAACACCCACACTGAAGGTACTTAAATGTCTTGTTTTGTTAATATAAGCAGAGAAATAAAAACAAACTATTAGGACTTAGACTTTTGGAATTCCAGTACTCAATCACATGCATGTATTTTGCTTAAACCACACCCTTTTCAGTTCAGAAAACAACTTTTCAGGAAAAACAACTCCCCAAAATGTTGACTTTTTTTTTTTTCTCTGAACAAACATCGAGATCCAATTCCCCCTTTATGATGTTGGTCATACAAAAGCAAAATTAGGCACCAGCTTGTAAGTATCAGGCAGTTATACTTCAAAATGGCACAGGAGTGTACTCTTTAAACATAATTGTAAGATGTAGTTTATACATAACAGACTTCTGATGCCCACAGACCCTTTGCCCCAAAACTCCGCAACAAATTCGTCAACCAGTGTGGAGTCCCACATGATGTATAACCAGAAACTGTTCCAATTACTTCTCAGAATAGAAAGCCATTAGTATATTGTATTTTGTCGTTCATTTAGTAACTTGCTACAATGTTGCCCATTACCTCTGAATCCTGTGATGATTTCAAGTGCTGGGAAATGTTAAACAATTGAATCATTCCAGTAATTATCTGAACATCAGTCTTGGAATGAGACTGGGCAGTGTAACAGAAGTCTTAAGACTGAAAATGGGAAATACAAAAACCACAGCTAATCCCCAGTGTGCATGTAGCCAACAAACTCAGGCTCAGCATGTTGAATAATTTGTCCTGGTGCAGGTAAGAGTTCAGTAATAGCAATGTTATAAAGGCAGCCTTTATGAACAAGGCATTTTGAGTAAGGGTGAAAGAGAATTACGCTCTACTGACTTCAAAGCCTACAGCAGTGCAGAAATGCACTATTTTTTGACTCAGTTTTTCACAGGTTAAGGCAAAGGATCCTCATCAAGACTTGTAGTCAGGCTAGCCCTGACAACAGACAGGCACAACAGTCACATGGGTCAGATGAAACATTTATCTAGTACAGTGTTCTAGCTTGGTAATCTACAGTAGATGCTCAGTGAAAAAGCACCAGAAAAAAACAAAAGCAACCACGTACTCTATCTTCTCCAAAATAATCTCCCAGTTTCCTAAGAATCTCCATTTTCAAAGTCTCCTGAGCTAGAGATTGCGTCTGTCTGTGCTGAGATCAACCGATTCCCAAGTTGGACAGGAGACATTAGCACAAGTAGACCATGGTTCTCACACTCTTTTTGAACTGACAGGATGAGAGCTACCAGAGTGTTTTCTTTCTTTCATAAACTCCTATCACTGAACAGAAATGGAGATGCTGACCAGCTCCATGGCAAGAGACTACAGCCTCAAGGATTCCAACTGAAGTCGGTGGTAGATTTACAAGACATTTTCAGTTCTTTCTTAACAGGAGGTTATAAAATGCCCACAGAAATCAAAGCTAAAAAAATTGAGTGAAACTCATGATTCTCTGATCCAGCTGGAAAAAGGAACAATATATGAAATATGGCATGTTTTTCCTGAGATGGTGGGCAGTGTGTGTGCTTCTAATTTAGAGACAGTCATTTCACAAGAAGGGTAAATCACTAACATCTCCAAGAGAGTGGGATGGTAGGGAGTGGAGGAAGAAATACCCTGCCAGCAAGAGATTCCCAGGCTAGATTGCTTCTAAATTAAATTTAAAATGTCAAAGTGGCAAGATAAAAGAAAAAATATACAAGTGCACATCATGCGGAGATGCAGACATCAGAAATAATCTAATGGTCTGAAAAACACCAAGTGGGAAGAAAGTTACCTTTTGGTTTTTTTATGCCAGGAGCAGTGGTAATAAGTAACCTGCAGCATATGTGCTGAAAGTGCTGCCAAATGTTAAGAAGCATAGAAAAAGAGAGGTGTGGAACACAGAGGCACTGTGAGAGACAGCATCTTCCAGCTTACCAGAAGTTCAGCTCAAACTCCTTCCTGACACTTAACAAAGCACAACAGCAGAGACAACAGCTTCTACTAAGTTTCTACCAAAATTCTTAACTGTTCATACAGTAAAGTACAGTTAGGCAGGTAAGCCATGTTATGCTTCCACAACCAAAGGTCAGCTATCTACTACCTGGGCATATATACAGGGAGCAAAGTCTGCCCTCAGGAGCTGTAATAAGATTCTGGTCCCATCTGAGAGAGACAATCAATCCATGTGGGGAAAAAGCAGTGTTTGTACTGGAAAACATGGCCACCTGCTTATATGATCTTTAATGATGGATTGCCAGACTGACATGAACTCCAGGCTTGAGCACAAGACACTTCAAATAGCTCCCAGGCTAGATGACAGGCCTACAGGTGAAGCATTTACTGAGTAGTTCAGTTCAAAAGTGCAATCTCCATTATGCTCAAAGGCCATCTAAAGTACACACAAAGTTTCTTAATATTTTGACAGAGGTATCAATCAGGAAATATCTGAGTCTTAAAAAAGAAAAATCACTCCTTGGTTTAGGTCAAGATGAGAACTAAATTTCCTGAATAAAAGTTAATGACATGTCATTAGGACGTATTCTGATTCTAACTGGCACTTTCCTTTGAAGATGCTGCAAGGCAAATCAACAAGAGAACTCCCCCAAATGGATGGAGAAACAGGAGATTTTTTTTTAATTTCAGCATGAATTTCCCCAACAGATCTGTGCTATTTTCAAGGACAACTGGCAGATTATCACTTATTCCTCTATACATAATTACATCTTTATAAAACATAAATCCTGCTGTGAGTTGTATCTGATTACTACAGTTGATCTCCTCACCCACATAATATGAAAAATTGTAACCTGTATCCAGCCTCAAACCCTTAGGGAGCATTAGAATAGCAACAAGCACCTATGTGCACATTAGAAAATCAGAAAGCTCAATCTCTAGTAGCAGTCAACATTCTTCCTTTTTCTGGAGTATCTCTACCACAGCAAACTGAAAAAAAAAATTATCCATGAAAACAATGTTTTGTAATATTTGAGTATTTAACACACAGACTCATGATCACCAAAATGACCACTGTCTTCCTCAGGAGCTACAGCTTCTATCAATGCTAAGCTGATGTATGTTGGTCCTGCATGAGAAAATAGTCTTACTTTCACCTAATTGCTCATTTCCTCCCCCACCCTTTCCCCCTCTTTTCCACTGCATAGGTGTGACAGATTTTTGGCTGCTCTGTGAACCACTAAAGGGAACTGAACTGTTAAGAAAGTAACAGAGGGAAAGAAAACTCAGCATTTTCCACACCTCAGTTCTCTCATGTGGTTTACCGCACACCTAAATGAAGACTTGTCCCTCAAGAAGAGGGAATGAAAGGAGTGCGAAATAAATGAGCTTCCAATTTAGCTTGAAGGTAATGCAGTCTGTATCAAATGAAAGGGATGAAGTTGTAATAAAATTTAGATTTAAGTAGCTTTATATAGTATCTTTCTAGTAGGCAAGTGACAGTATTTGGTACAGATGTCTTTAGGGTGTGGTACAGGTGCAGTGCAGTGTGTCTCTGGTGCATCTGGGAAGACGGGGACAGCTTGATGCTGAAGTAACACATTCCTATCATAAATGTTACAAGTAAAAAGTAAAATGTATTTAAATATCGGATTTTCACCAAAATCTAAAATTGTTCAATAGTCTTACCAGGAAAATGAGGTATGACTTCACCATCTAGTTTGTATGCAACACCAACTTTGATTTCTGGAAATACATCCAAGATATCCAATTTGGTAAGTGCCAATCTATAAAGGAACATTATTCTGGTTAAACAAGTTCAACAGTTCTCTCATGATACTGTAACAATACCAGAAGCGATTTCTGCACATTACAATTAATTGCCTTTTATCAGAAAAATAGCTTGTATAGCACTCATTCCTTTAACTGACGTGACTTGAAAAATATATAGAAAAATTAAAACTCAAGACAGCCTTTTTGTTGTATCCTTAGATCTAGTACTATAAGAAAATGGCAAAATGCAAAGAAGAAGGTTGATCTCCAATGAATGTGACTGGTCTATAGCTTTAACTGTTAGAATTTTAAGTGGTCAGGGTGCTACCAAGATATTTTATGACTATTCAAGATGGTTTCATAGCATGATGCCTGTTGCTATTTCTGTTCTCTGCCAAATCTTCCTGTCCTACAGTGAAGGCAGCAAGATAATCAAACACTATTTTAAATAACAAACACAAGAACAAGCAAAACCAGGAAAATTTAAGTAAAGCAGGTATTTACTCAGTTTCATCTGCTAGAAATTTTATTCCAGCTTGGTTTCAGACACATGATTTTCATTTTAATTGAAAGTCATATCCAAATTTTCTACATTTACATATACTGCTGAACATACTGATGGTTTCCCATCTGTCTTATTTTGAATACAAACTTATGAATCAAAACTCCAAACTACATCAGGTTTCAAGGCCCCTGCAATGCACTTAATTTGGCTTGGTGGGATGGCAGGGGTTGGGGTAGCTTGAAGCATTAAGTACCATGATACTAAGTGCTTCTTGGATCATTTTAAATGAGAAGTAACAATGTGCTACAAGTAAAGGAAAGAAAACATAAATGACCAAAAAAAAACACCTAATGATAGGAAAAAAAACCATGAGGGACAGTTAATTTATCAAAATATTGAAACATTAAACAAATCTATACTAACAGTCTGAATCTTACTAACTAGCATATGCACAACTACCAGTAATCTGTAGCATTTCATGATTTTATGTCAAGGTGCAAGCAAAGATTCAAAGTAACTCACGCAGTAAATCCATTAATCATATAGGCATATCGGAGTGACACAAGGTCCAGCCAGCCACATCTTCTCTTTCTACCAGTGGTAACACCAAACTCTTTGCCTCTCATTTGCAGCAATTCTCCAATTTCCTAGCGAAGAGTAACACATTATATGATCCTTTTTTTATTTACAATACATGATGCAGGTGTGTACATGTAAGACATTTGATAATATTGCAAATTACCTTAAAAATTCTTTCCCCAATTTTTCACAAAGTTTCCATTGGGAATGAAAATACATATACAAAATGCTATTTCTAATTAAAGAGAAGGGTATTTGAGCAAATGTCTCAAAATTCGTTTCTGCTCTACTCTTCTATTCCTTAAGAAGGTCTGAGAAACTGACAATCTCATTTAGCAGTCCTGTCAGCTCAGCCTAGAATCAGAAGAATGAGACACTCAAACCCACTGTAATCTACTTGCATTTCACCCATAACACTGATTCAACATAAAACAGACACACCATTTCACCCAGTTACAGGTCACATCTGGGGCTGATAATACTCACATTATTCTGTTCTGTAGGAAAGGCACCAATTCCAACTCTTGTTGTGTAAGCTTTCACAACTCCGTACACTTCCCCAACGTTCTGCGGTGGCATTCCCAGACCTGTACAAACACCTCCAACTGTGCAGTTTGATGAAGTCACAAAAGGGTATGTGCCTATTAAAATAATTGTTTTTAAAACTTATTAAACAATTTTTCAAAACAAATCAATCTAACCTGGTGAAGAATAGTACTTGCATTGCACTCACCTAGGTTCCACAACACTAAAAAACAAAACAAAACACAACAAACCTATTTTATGGTCAAGAACTTATGACTTCTTAGTTTTGTATGTACATTGTCTGATACTTCTTAATTGAAGAAATGTACAAGTCTGGAAATAATAATCTTGCTTTCATAGTCAAATAAGAAAATATTTGCACAAAAGAAAGAGGAAAAAGGAAAAGGACTCCTGGAATACAGTCTTGTTCATTAGCAGTGACAGTTTGTCTCTAGTTAAACAGTCAGCCCTCATTTAAAAAGCAACTTGGACAGCAAAGATGAGACTTAAACATCTCAAAATTCTTAGGTTTATATATATATTTTTTTTAAGTAATGAAAGATGAAACAGAGCATGTTAGTCCTTAGGTGATCTGAATTGTGAACAAATGCTTCAGTCACACATTAACTACATTTAAGAGAGAGACATTTACCTTGTGCTTCAAATTTTTTTTTCTTTTCGTGTAAGAGTCAGAGATAGGTAAGAGAGGCACAGCCAAGACAAAAGGAACTGAAAGCCATGCAGCCAACTTTAAAAAGCTGAAGACTGTTCAGTGAGGTTTTGCAGATTGGCTTCAGGTATCTCTTGATTCTTTGACATAACTCATGTCTCTCAAGAGACAGATAGAGGCTTACAAATGAACATGTGATAGCATTTTATAAGCACTAACTAGTCTTTCTTTTTCTTAGGAAGCAGCAGTTGAGCTTTTCTTTACCAACAGAGAAATTGTAGCCAGTGGATGCCACAAACAGAGTCAATGAGAAAATTTTTACTCATTTCCAGCTCCCAGCCTGGTATATTGACATGGGTTTATCCTTACCTAGTGTTTAAAAACACAGAAGACTGCACCCGCCCCCCCCAGACACATACACATGAGCTTCAGTACACATTCCAGAGATGCAGGATGGACTGCAGGGCTGGGGATTTACCACCTTCACTGCCAACAGACACACACTCATAAAACTAACTTCAGTATTAAGACTAATGTGCACAAAGGCACATAAAACAGCCTCATTCAGAATGCTAAGTAGCCAAATTTGGCATTGTCAAATCTTTTGACTAGGGCTTGTCTATTGTCAGTCCATTTGTCCAATCCACTGACAGTATCTACCTAAGGACAGCAGGTATTATCTGTGTGTATGGGTCTCTCAGCAGAGGCAGGAGACAAATCCAAGTAACCCAATATCTATTACAGATACCCAGTAAGTTTCACACTACTTGCATTTCCTGTATTTAGATGAAATCTAAAATCCTCACTACTTACAAAAAACAACCCCCCCCAGTTTTCTAGAAATATTTCAGTTTTACCTCAAACAATTCCCTGTGACAAGCATATTTGAAGACTTTTTGTTTGTGGTTTTTTTTTACTGGTTAAAAAAGGAAGTTTCTTCCAATATTCACACTATCATGTGAAAACTTGGTGCTTACAATGACTAGCCTTAGACATATCTTCCTTTTAAAAGCAGAGGCTTTCAAACTCACTGTGCTGGAAAATGTCCAGTATCCTAACCCCTACTAGTTGAAAACAGGGAGTGTACTAACTTTGTATTTGATAGTAGTTCTTACAGGCTTCAATTTCAGACCTAAGCAATAAAAATGATTGAGTTACAAGGCTAGTGAGACTGAGAAAAATGTGACAAAATGCAGGAGCCAATCATACACACTGCTTATGCTTATACAGAAGTATAATAGTTTACCTGTCCTTACAATATAATGATAACACACATAATAAATTCAATAAAAAACCCCCAAAACCTACTTCTATCAGGAAGTTAATTTTATAGCAAAATGACAGTGTTTTAAGAAAATCTGCACCATTAATAATTTCAAATGTATTGGGATATTTCCACTCTTGCCTCATTAGCAATCCAGACTCCCAATATCTTTCCTTACATTTTGAAACAGTAGAAAACTGTTACATAGAGGGTTAAAAAAACTGCAAGTTGATTCTTCGAAGGTCAACAAGTATTTTGCATATATACCTTGCTGATCAAAGCTCTCAATTATTCTTCTGAAGTGTTTTCCACAGATGTATACGACGAGTTATTTCATATGAAATTTATAGACACTGAAGTAACAGCTACACACTACTTTTAAGAACTTAACGAAAAACATTCCTCTCCTCCTCTAATGATTTGCCAGTCATAGAGAGCACTGTTCTTCCAGAATACAAAGCACTTCTGTCATAAGAACAGCTAAGTACAGAAGTGTGCCTCTTGCGCAATTTGAGTATATAGCAATGTGTCTCAAAAGAGGTTATACCTACCAAAATCTATGTCCAGCAGTGCTGCATTTGCACCTTCTACTAAGATCTTCTTTGGTGGTCCATGTAAAGCCTCAGATATGAAATAAACACCATCCTTTACCATTGGTTTTATTTTTTCCATGTAGCCCTGCATAAAACAAAAGACTCTTATATAACTACATTATGATAAAGCCAACCAGAGTCCAAGTGCTATTGTTCCCTCTTGATAATGCTCTTATTCCTTTTGAAAAGGAGAAGCAAACAAAGAAATGCTAAATATGCTATAATACATGAACAAGGGAAGGAGGAACATTAGACACACATGGTCTTCCTAAGAGGAAAGAAAAAAAAAAAAAAAAGGAAGAAAAAAGGGGAAAAAAAATTAAAACTTTAGAAGTGGTTTAGAACTATTCGAGTACAATAAGAATACTTTACTGTGTTTAGTATTTCTTTTCCAAGTGTTCAAAATTTCTCCCCCAAAACCAGCATGTGGGGAGTTTAATTTTGGCCATCTAAAGCCAACAAATGCATGCACTGGTAAAGCAGCATTCATTTGTGATACACAGACAGGTATGTTTGTAAGTAAAAGCAAAAAGTCATTTATTGCAACTCCGGGTCAAGTGCCTGAATGCCACTGATTAGCTGGATGTGAGAAGCCAGTAATGTTCAGATGAACACTTGCTACATAGCCTTCTTACCCATGAGAGCATATGGAAGATCTCATTTTAATGACTCACTTGACACGGAATGTAACACTTTGTATTTCAAAATTTAATCAAGTGCATTACCATAAAACAACCATTCAGTGCACATTATTTTCCTCAAGCTACAAACACGTATTATGTTACAAAAAAAAAAAAAAAAGGAAGAAAAAAGGGGAAAAAAATTTAAAACTTTAGAAGTGGTTTAGAACTATTCGAGTACAATAAGAATACTTTACTGTGTTTAGTATTTCTTTTCCAAGTGTTCAAAATTTCTCCCCCAAAACCAGCATGTGGGGAGTTTAATTTTGGCCATCTAAAGCCAACAAATGCATGCACTGGTAAAGCACTGGTAAAGCACCCTAACAATAAGTTTCAGATGTGTACTAATCAAACTATATAACATTATAAGCCACTCAACTTTAACTGACTTTTAGATCTCCATATTGATAAAAACACTACAACTCAACATATGTTAACAGATATTGTTCGAAGCAAGGTAAGTGGAAGTGCTAAGAGCTCCCATATATTCCATTCTAGAGCTAGTAAACTGAGTGGTAACTAAAGGTACAAGGATGACAACTTCTTTGGCTTGATTTTCTGAAAGAATTAAACATGTAACTGTGCACACCCTTCCTTGTTCCACACGTACCTCGATAGTTTTAAACAATCAAATTTGGTTGAAGAGCTCTAAGGGATAAAAAAAACTCATACACTGAAGTTTCTATAAAATATATGAACAAAAAGGCTGGGAAAAACACCTGACAATTTTTTAAAATAAGAAATTGGGTGCACCACAAAAAATCACACTATTAGACATAAGAGAATTAATACTAGTGATAAATCTCACAACTGTCCCAACTGCAGGGAAAACATCAAATCAGAATTCATACTTTTCATAATAAAGACTAGTTTGCTGGTACTCAGGCTTCATTAAGTCTCTTGTTACCAACATGTTTCCATGTTGCTAGGCAGGTTGGGTTTTTTTCCTTAAGGCTTATTATTTAGAGTAATAATTTACTTTAGGTTTTATAATTTCCTTAGTTTTCAGACACAGGAATTAATATTCTGCTTCACAATGAAACGTGCCTTCCCCAACTACAAACTTGGTGTTTTTTCCTCCTTGTCTCAGCAAGTGGAAGTACAAAATAATTCTCCCTATACAAGCATTTTTCTTAGAAGTTTACAATATTTCTCTTGAAACCAAGTTTTGAAGCGGTGCATAATGTGGGGACAAAAGCGCCTTGAAGGACAGATGCTGGCAGACTCCTTAAAATTGATACATACTAATGTCCTATGATGTATTTTAACTCCTCACACAAGCACACGTGTCAGTCACCAGGAGATGCACGAAACAGTAACCGCACACAGCGCTTATATCATTTAACAGGCAGAAGGAGACTTACCTTGAGCTTTTCCAGTTCCCCTTCAATATCTATCTTTAAGGTAGGATATATCGCTCTGTATTGATTGGCTAACAATTTGAACCTGGAAGGCAAAAATGCTACACTAAGGTTTTTGCTTGTTTTCTTCCTAACACCTCCACCAACCTTAGGTTTTACTGCAGTTATTTGGTGATTAAACAATTTTAAACAATAAAATATTTTAATAATTCTTAATAGAAAATGTGTTAAAGTTATAAACTGAACACTATGCTTACAACTGTGTGTCAAAATACAGAAATTACCTCTCAGAAAATTCATCAAAATCGGAAACAAGATCACACATTCTGAGTCCACTTCGAGCTGCTTTTGAAGAATATACTGGACCAATTCCTTTTTTGGTAGTTCCCAAACTTTCAAAAGATAGTAACAGGAGTTATTATTGAAAGAAAATGAAGGTGTTTTTTCTTTAAAGCTAATACATCCTTAGCATAAAATGAAATGTTGTTAACTGAGCATTTAAAAACCTTGTTTTAAGCATTTAAAACATGAGATACCTTTAGTATGTAACTTTGTTTCAGAATATTACTGTGTAGACATACTGTCTACATATTTCTGGTTTTATTTTGTTTCATCAAGACATGCCAACTCATAAAAGAGTTAAGCTGTCAGAAAACTGTATTTATAGAAGTTAAAACAACTCTATAAGCATAATATACTATATTAGATTACCTTTTCTATAACCTTTCTGCAAGGAAAGCTACATGAGCCTGACTGTTTTTGAGCTACATTTGAACAGATAATAGCATTCAGTTAAAATAAGAAATAAACGCACTACTTGTAATTATCAACTTTGAAGCATGAAGACACAATTTTAATACCTAATATGATATGCAGTCAAATCTATAATTAGACATTCTACCAAGCTATTTCAATTCCCCACCCACAACAAACAGAAGACAAGTCTTTTGATAATCAGTTTCTGATAGCCTGTTCTTAGCCAGCCTGTACTAGCACTTCACCACTACAGTCAATTACATAGCCTGAAAAATTAGGAGAAAATAGCAAGCTTAGTACTTTCAATCCATCAGTAGTTTTAACAAGCTCAAAAACTGTATGACTGTTGCAGAATTTCATGAACCTCAGAGAAAAAAGAAATATAGCACTTAAAAAAGTAACTTAAAAGTTTTTTAGCTTTGAATGTAATTTCTGTCCTGGGTTTCTCTGAAACAATTAGTTGGAGAAAAGTGGTTATTTCTTCACTGGGCTGGCTCTCTCTTAAAATCTTTTATCTCTATCCCCAAAAACTAGCAAGCTACTTGTAAATCACAAGTTAGAAACATATCAGGTAGTTTCTAAAAGCTTCAAAAGTTTCAGAAATTCAGAAGCAACATGTAGTAGGCAATGTGCAGTTCCAACAATGAATCATCATGAGATACCAAATTAGTCACACCAGACCTTTCAGTTATTTGGATATGACAAGGGGGTTCTTCAATCTTAAAAAAGATTTTTACAGAAACAAATACTTCCAGTAAACTATTAAAACATTAGGAAGAAGGTAACCTTTTTATAAAACAAATTAGAAACCAGGAACATTTTCATAAAGGAAAATATCAAGCTACAACCTTTTAAAAATAATCTTTTGCCAGCCACTGAAGGACCAAAGTATAAGAAATTATCCCTGCATATTCCACACTGAAGAGTTAGAAGGATAATTAATACTTTTTTAAACTTGATGCAAATAGTAACAGAAATCCAGTGTATTAGATCATGCTTTTGTACTAGGTCATCCTGTGTTTGACAAAACTACCTACTTCTTTCCCGCTTGTTCTTGCCTCTGTTGTTCTTGGATGCCATCAGCAGCTTGGTGGAAATCAAATACTAAGAAGATAAAAAAAACTTAAGTAGAAAATTTGTGTGAAACAAATTACCATATCAGTAACAATTTATCCAAACCAACTCTAGACCTGTTTATAAATGTGGAAAACAAAAATATATACACTGAAGAGGAGAGGTAAATAAAATGACAAAAGTTTCTTGTCTCCTCTTTTACAAGCTACATTTTTTCCCAGGGAAGAGTTGAGGTTTTCCAGAGAATTTTGTTAAGTGTTTGTTTTGTAGAATACCTACATACCATGTATACACATCCCACAGAATAACTAAGCCATTTAAACTTTGTAATAGCCCAAAAGAATGTACGGACAACAAAGAAATCACACAGCTGAAAAAAAAACAAACCTGGAAAACAGGTTATAGTAAAAAACCATCATACTGCTGAAATTTAAGGTGGGAACTTCAAGTAAACAGTCTCGTTCATTCATTTTAGATAACTTTCATTGAAATACATTTGGAAATACAACAGCTCCCACCTATGTCTGGAACATAAACATAAGTCATCTTCACAAGCCCTGATTATTGTTTTTAAAGCATTACGTGTCATTAATGACAAAGATCATGCAAAGTATTCCTTGCACCAACTGACTACCATAAAGGCATAAGAAAAAAGAACAAGCTGACAAGACTCGTGTCCAATACAAACAATGGTGCAACAGTTTGCAGGTTAACAGAAGCCAGCTTATTTTTCTTAAGTACTATCTCCCAAAAGTTCAACAACTAATCTACACATTCACAGGAAAGACTGATCACTTGCAAGAAAAACACTCGTTAAAGTACTCTAGCTTCTCCAAAACAAGAGTGGTTTTCCTTGTTTGCCATACCAATTTATTTGTGTTTATTTCCACACATTCTCATAATTTTAAGGACTAGATTATCCTCAGCAGCTTGATCCTATTTTTGGTTGCTCTTTTGTTACAGGCTAATCATTCACAGCTTGCCAATACCCATTTTAGAGAAAGCCTGTTTTATCTTGGCAAGAGATTTCCAGACTGCCATTAAAGCATTCTAAACAGAAGCATTCTGAAAGTTCATTTATTTTCAGAGGTTGAACGATTATGAGGGACAGTTATTACTGGTCCTTTTTACTCAGGACATGTTTAGCTATGGAAAGTTCACAGTATTGCCACAGCAATGCAATAACCACAGAACAGTTTTTCTAATAATCTAGTAATTTCCAAGTAATTCACCAACAGTGATTCTACTTTCAGAAAGTATTTTAGTATCTTAGAAACAGTTACTCAACTATTTCAAACTCTGTACCTACTCCAAAGTAAGAACATATTTTTTCTGTATATAACATGTTTACTCACTAAGCTATTCCAAATTTGTTTAAAAAAAAACACCCCAAAACTACAAGACAAAACCAACATCTTTTTCCAGTGTTACAAGCTATTATCTGATAAAGACCTGAAAAGTTTGCATCTTCAAAAGATGATTACCAGAGCAGCAAATAAGCTCATTTCCTAATACATGCAGTTATGTTATTATCATGTTAAAATACCTAAAGATCTAATTTAAAGATTAATTTATATAATAAAGATGTCCTAGCAGCAATACAGGAAGATCCTCTGAAAGCTCTGTGTTGGTGGCTGCGACTCTTAAATATTATATCTCATCAGGCAGAGCTGAAACATAGACTTGACTGATAAGCAACAGTCGAGGAAGGCAGTCATTTCCTCACCCCTACAAAGTCCTTCCTATAACGTCTCCTTTCTAAAGTAAGTGGCAATTTACTTGGTAGGGAGCCTGTGAGTTTGGAAGTCACTCCTAGTCACATGGTTTCCCAGCAGAAAAGTTCCTATAAGCAAGACTGCTTCCCCATCAAAGGGGGAAATGTATCCTTAGTCAATTAACTTCTGAACTGCTTCTTGACAGCTTTGCACCTTTAATCTTTGGCTTGGAAAGTGAACATGCTTTCCTGACTAGGTTATGCTTATGGAATAGGATTAAAGAATCACTAGAATGTAAATCTGGGAGGGTCCTGAGTGGTGAACATTTTTTTCTAGGATCTTCAATAAACCAAAGCAGCATACAGAGAAAAAAGTTCTAAAGAAAAGTTCACAGCTATAAAAAGAGATGGCTAAAAGTTGTCACAGTTTTACTGCCATGGGGAGTTCAGAGAAAGAAAGTTTAAAAAAAAAAAATAATTAAACAAAAAACCAAACCAAAACCAGGAACTTACCAATATGAGCTCTGTCAGAGATTATTAGTCTTTTTTCCCAGCCTTCTAGCACTTAAAAGACAAAATGAAATAGTTCAGATTATGTTTTGTATAGCATTTCTGTCTTCTGATGTATAAAGGAAATCACTTTTCATGTTTATTCTTCAATCACTCTATTTACATATTGAGCAAAATCAGCTTTTAGATTTAAAAAAAAGTGTTTCAGTAATTAAAACCTCATATCAGCCTATAAAGCTGAGAAAGTCAGGCTTGTTCTGAGGAAGAACTCTAGCTATTCTACTAGTTGCCCAATTTGAGCAATCAATTAGTAGCTTTTTGGCTTTGAATAATCGAGACCATTGATTTACCTCACTGCCAAGTGTGGTTATAGACATAACAGAAAATTTTTTAAAAGTATTGAGTTCTGAATCAAGAAGTGATTACTAAAGCATTTGTTTACATTAATAAGTATAATCAAACTGACACTAATATTGTAAAACTACTACAAACAGGTAACACACTTTAACAAGCTGGTTCAATTCTTAACTGCTTTAAGCAAAGAAAAATGCCTGCAAGTAATTCATATTTGGACATGTTCTCTTCTGAAACTGTACAGACTACTTTAGTCTGTCTTCCCACGAGGGCCCTAGGACTTCGAGCGAGATTCCTTTCAGAAACTATCAACTAAATGGAATTCTGGAAAAACACATTACACGTCACCTCTACAAAGGCATACTCCAGCTGATCCTTTTAAGGAAGAGCCTCACACACTATTTTAAGAGTAGCACCTTAAAATTTTCTCACCTTTTCCTTTCTTTAAGTTTTTTTCAGCTTCTTCAAAGAGTCCTGGCAAATGAATTACAACACCATTTCCTGAAGAAAACCATTACACAAAATTTAATGAATTATACTGACCACAGAAAAAAATATTCCAAGCAATTCAAAGACACTTAATATTTTGTATGCAGAGTATTTTATGTAAACTTTTAAACTTTCCAGACACTGCGATTTTTATTCTTAGGAAATCATCTGTAAAAGACTACGTGCATTGTATCCTTTTAATAAACTCAACAAACTTTCAATTTAGATCCAGACAATCAGTAACAGCATCATGGGACAGTTAGAATGCAACTTCCTTTTCCTCATACCTAAAATTAACTTCCCTCTTTGTACTTCACTTTAATAACCCTATTGTTTTTTTTAAAGCTTAGCACATTTCTATCACCATTATAAACACTAGTATCCACTCAGGCACTCTTTTACTGTAAATAGATACAGAATATTCAGTATATAGAGTTGGGCTTCTTAACAGACTAGCAAAAACAGCAGATGAAAAAGCTCTAACAAAGCAAGCTTGCTTTCCTACAGCTGTCACCTTACTAAGACAGACTACTAACTCAACTAACCAGCATCACTGAGTGCACAGGGAGCATTTCCATATAGCAAAACAGAACCATCTTAAGATCAAACCAAACTCAGTAGATCCAAAGCTATCAGTATGATAACATTTAGCTAAAGAAGGGACCTGCCACTTGAAACCATTTGCGTATCACCTTCTTTCACACAGATACTTTGTATTTTGATGTTTAGAGTTTAGATTTCTTCACTATAACCTTCACAGTACCATCCTAATTAATAGTAATAATCTATTATAATGCTCCAATTCTTTTGCCCTTTTTTTTTAACCCACAAGACCTTTCAGTGGAATGCTAAGGCAGACAGTGTTATTTTTCTTGCCAAAAGAGATTTTATACACAAGGCAGACCTGTAAGAAGCTATGAAAAACAAACTTCAGAACAGATAAGACTAAGAAATAGTAGATACAGACAAGAGGACTCATAAAAAGTTCTCTCCTGCCTACTGTATTTTTAAAGGATGGGGTTCTTCCTACTCAACCCTGAGTCCACTGAACAAAACATGACAAATGGACATCTTTTTTTATTGTTTTCAAGCAATAACCTTTTAAAGAAACATGATATGGTAACACAAAAGAGAATAAAAGTAGTATTGTCTGCCCCAGCTCTCAAAACTAGAAGCAGCTATCCCAACCTCCCCTTCATCAGAAGGAATCTATTTCCAGGCCCAGTGGCTCAATTTCTGTAGAAATACTAGGTAAGGCAAGTTGATCCATAATTATCCCACTATCAAGTCACAATATAATAGCTGAAGAGGCAATTAACCACCAATTCCCATTAAATAGAGAGTTAATGGTGACTGCTAGTATACAGTCACTATAAGCTGGACCCAAGAACTCAGCAAGTACTGTTTATGAATCAAGTAACTAGCAACAGAGGCTCTTTAGTTGCTATCCTGTTTAGTAAACTGTCAGTGACCACTTATTCTTAGTGTGTTTACCAAGATGAGAGGAAAGAAGGCTACAAGCTCAAAGCAGTAAGTTATGCAGGAGGAAGTGAAAGGAAGAGCATGGCAATAGTCCCAGTTTGCAGATGTACACTCTAAGGACAAGAGTTCTGGGTATCAAAATAGCAGGATGCAATTGTTGATAGGTCATAGCCCTTAGTGCCCCAGAGACTTACCTGGCTTGTGAAACAGCACACAAGCACATGTGTAGTTGTAACACTGTGCAGACATGTTTTATATTTACCTTCAGTTTTAGAGGCAGCATTATTAAGTTGTTCGTAAAAGCAATTCAAAGGAATAAAAACAACACATAACATTAAAAACAGGATTACAAGAGAGGGAGGGGAAACATTAAAGCCCCTTTTCAGGAAGCAATCACATCACAGATCCTGATGTCACACTGTACTGCCACTGCCCTAAACCTTCTAATGTACTCTCCTAAGAGGACTTCTTGGCAAGAACTATATAGTGCATAAGTCTTCCAGAGTCAGCATTCATTTCATAATCCAATGGAGCAGGGAGGAAAGATCTGTTTCAAAAGGTATTGGTAGCTACTTAGCACAGCTGAAGTAGAGAGGAAGAATTCTGAGAATAAAAGAAGTAATAGGTTGAGAAAATAAGGGGGAATGGAAGATTGAAGATATGCCTCATAGGTAGATGTTTGCTTTGATAGGACAGATAAGAATCAAGATGAACTATTCAAGACAGTAAAAAAACCTCTCCATAATCCAAACTTCACAATTGAGTTAAAACAGTATTAAGAAGATAGCAGAGCAATTGAAGCCTATGAGAATTTGAGGAAGAAAAATCCTGATCCTGTATGTCCTCAGATATATTTTGTTATTTTAACATGTCAGATGTCTGTAATACAGTATTGTTTATTTTTCAGAGATGTCCCACTTACCAATGAATGCAGTGACTTTTGGATTGATGATCCCACTTGGCAGAAGATGAAAGTCATACTCCACAGAATCCACAACAACTGTATGCCCTGCATTATTGCCTCCCTGGGGACAGGGGGAAACGGGCAGGGGAAGAAAAATAAAACACAACTGTGGGTTAGTAGTTTTTTTATATTAAAGACAAATGAACACATAACATAGAGATGGAATAAACTGGATCCAGCTCCAATTCTGCATCTTTCTGTTACCGACAAAAGATCTTTCAGAGATCACATTTTCCCAGGAAATCAGGCAAACTTGTTTTGTCAAAACTCAACAATTTCAACATCAGTATTATCTGTCATATAGACTTTGGACAGTATTTTGGTTCATCAAAGGTACAAAAGCTTGGAATAAGATTGAAATATTTCTAAAAATTACTGGACAGAAGTAAATATTCTAGAACATGTAAACATATCTAAAAGCCATAATCAGTTTTACTAGATTCCTGTTACAACTATAGAGAGTAAGCATTACAATAGAACTGCAACCTTAGCGAAGAAAAAAAAAAACACTACCACCGGTTAAACTGAGTATATAAAACCATACAGTAATTGGGAATGGTAAGTCTAGTTGTTTGGCAAGTTGCAGGCTTTTTCTTCTGAATTTTAGGTTCAGACTTTTGAGTATTCCTAATAGTAACCAGAAAAGTTACCTTGCTCATTCTATAGCTCCTCAGTGGTAAGAGAGGTCTGTTAATAGTACAAGCCACTATATCCAAGATGTGCTGATAGGGAGTGAATCTAGAGGCAACTAAGATGATTGTGATTTCATAAGTTACTGGAAACCATTTACTTCAAACTAACACTTAAGATTTTTTCATCACCACAAAAAGTATTAAAAGATTTGTTAAACTGTGAAATACGTCTAAAATACAAAAAGAAGTCTGTGACCAAGTCTTAGAGAGGGCCAAGACAGGCTTATGAAACTAAAAAGATTACAAAATAGTTACCAAATATCCCCAGTTCCTGTTTGTTGTACTTTTGAAAATAAGCTTACACTCTCTTGTGACTGAGTATTTTGTGCAAGGTTGCAAACAAAATGGTTCTGTTCATTGTAACTACAGGAACATCCTTTACAGGCACCTTGCACAAACTACAAACAAACTACTTCACAGAAGAAAAGCCTTAAAAGGAAAGACTTTTTATCTAAGCCTTCTTTCAACACAAGACAAACTGAAGTATGGTATGATATGAAAAGAAGAAAAAAATAAACTGTATGAAATATTAATCAATGGCATTATAAAATCTGAAGTATTTCAGAAAAATGTATTGCAGAAGGTATTTCCTAAGCAATGGACTCCACAGCTACTCACTACTTCTACAACATTTACAAAGCATGAATGCAATATATAAAGTCATGTACCTGATATTACAAATAAAGAATATTCTTAGATAACAAATGTTTGGGCCATTCTTTTAATTTCAGCATTATTTTTGAGGACATAGAATCATTCCACCTCCCTTGAAAACAGAGGGAAGACTTATAAACATTCACCTAACATAGGAAGTGTTTGAGCTTAAACTTTTAAGTGATTTAGTAGAGTTTTCCATGTAGTAAACAGTACCTTGAAGAAGTTATAAAGATGGTTTTAGCTGCAAGTTATCTAACTTAATCAGAGAATGCCAAGTTTTCAATTCACAATATACAAATTGTATGGAATGTATAAATAAAACAAGCCTTTCAAGTTTATTCTTTTAAGAAAATAATAAATGTTTGGGAATAAGAATCCTCCTCCCATCCTTTCTACTCAGCAGTACCTGTTGACAAAGATTATTTAGCCATCTACTAACACTACAGTTTTATCCTTGATTTAAAAGGATGTTAATAGCTACATTAGCAGCTAGATCATTTGCAACTATTACTGAAATGCAATTCTGATAGTCCTGAACTACTGCAAGTTACTCTAAAACTGGGTAAGTTTAAGTCTAAGAACTATGAAAACATGCAAGCTTTTTTACTAAGAAAAGACATTGGTTTTCTACTCAGTGTTCAAGAACCTAATCAAAACCTTTGTTGAGGAAGAAAGTAGTTTTCTTCTTCCTCATCTGATTCCTTTTTATTAGATACTCTGGTATTATCAGTGTAGAGAAATCTAAGATGAGCACTGAAGCACTTTAAGCGAAAATTCAATAAATAGGTTTAAGTACAACACTGAAGAAGTACTGAGGTAGCAGTAATTTACAAATGGGAAGACGAGTCCAGATTTTCACACTGCAGCATATATAATCTGGACTAACACATAAGCAACACTAATACTAGTGAATCACTATTCATTTAAAATCCCTTCTAGCTGGATAATTTAACATCACGTTTTACTTCTCAATTTCTTTTAAAAAAAAGTTTTCTAGCATCATGAAAGTCAAAGAAAAATTTGCCACTGTAGAGATTAGGTCATAATTAACAATAAATTCTTAGTCTCTTCAAGTTTGCCAAGCTACTGGTGCCATTCAGACAGGGTAACTTAAAGTTCAGCATCCCATCTGCCTGAGTAAAGTGTACAGCACACAGGCTCAATCTCTGTTAATCATAAGAAACACAGCTACTAGTTTTTGCTGGTGTCCCTTTCACTACTGAGCAATGTCAATGTGTGCTGGTCTATGCTCATTGAAAAATACCCTATGGCTGACAGAAAAAACCTGGCATTTTACCTTTTAAACATTGAACTACATGCACAGCAAACTTCTGCTTCATCTAGAAGCAAGCTAGTTTCATATATCTCTGCATGCTTACTGTGGAGCAGTTATACTTTAAGGGATCTTAATAGAGACTACAATATAAAACTTGACTTTATGTGTGATGAATTGCCATCTGAACACACTCGTAGACCACACTAATACCTCAAAGTTTCTAAATGGTTGTTTTCATATTAGATTTAAACTGGAATCTCAGAATCTATTTGTTTATAATATTATGATGCCTGTGACATGAAAAGAATAAATCCCAACAGTGCTATTGATAGCAGCTATCTGGTAGAACATTCAGTCAGCCACCTACCTGCTTTGCATGTCATTCTGTCAACATGTGTCATTTTGAAAAATATTTTCAATTTCAAACCCTATTTTAGGAGAGCATTAAACCAGCAGCATTTCATTAATTTGTTTTTCAAAATTCTGCAGTAGTCTTACAGGTAGGCTCTACCCTAACTGCAGAAGTGCAAGTGAGTAGTTGCACAGTGAGGAACTAATGTGCTAAAAGGATGGTCGGCACTGTACACTTACAGTGAACTAGGAGTAAAGTGTACACATGTTGTGTGCTCAGATGTTGCACAACACAGGTTTGGTAAACAATTCTAATTACAGAAACCTGAACTCAGAGTTCTATGATGGGGTGAAGGGGTGGGTTGTTGTTAGGCTATGGAGTGCGGGGTGGGCTGTTTTTTTTTTCTTTTCCAGAAATTGATGATAACGGCAACATCTTCATAATGCAGGTAGCTCCTGTCTCTGGGCATAATTCAAGGTATAAACTGATAAAGTCACTCCTGGCTTCAGCGCTTTCCATCTGGATTTCTCACACCTCCTCCCTCATCACACTAAGCCAAATTGGACCAGTTAGGTCATTCAAGTTAACACTCCTTTGATTCATATGTTTAATCATTATTAATGGAGAGTTAACTGTGGAATTTATTCTCACAATTAGATAAAGAAAGTTCATATAGAAATGATCTCCAATACATTGTATAAAGCTTTTGTCAGGGGAAAATTAAGATATACAAGTAATTTCTTGAGGCTGATGACACTCCCTAGTTAACTAAATATAATAATCACTCTACCATATTTCATTAACCTTCTATGTACCCAAAATACAGTTCTCTCCCAGTCACATGAAATCTGAAACACCTACCTTGGGTCAAGATGGACCAAGAGGCCAAGTGCATGGCAAAGCCAAGAGATGCTCTTGCTCAGTCTGGAATACACTAAGTGCATGTAGCGGTAGCTCCTTTTTCCTTTCTCCTTGCACAACGGCAAGATTTCCTTCAGCTGAGCCAGGTAGTCTACCACAGCCAACATAACTCCCTTATCAGAGCAATGCAACTCTGGATTCAACTACAAATACATGGATTGTACAAAAAGACTGAGGAGAGGAGAAAAAGATTACTTCTTACACAGGAGAGATACAAGAAGGCACTAGTGGCACTCTGAAAAAATAACTTCCCTGGATACTTTCTTCCCATTCTACAGAATGGTAGCAGAGGAAGCTCCTCTGGAAGTCAGAATGCAGGCTCTGGAGAAGGTCAGCCAGCCAAGGCAGAGCTGTCTTTGCCAGAATAAGAGGAATAATACAGTACAGATTTTAAAATAATAAAGAATTAAGAAGAAATGTAACCAATAAGATGAAAGAGCATGACAGACAGTAATGTCTAACAGATTCAAGACTTTACTTGCAGGGTACTGCAATGCTATATTTTACTCCAAAAAGGAAAGATTCTTTTAACAATTTTTAGGTAAGTTAAACTTGCAGAAGACCAAAGAAACTAGTTCAGGATAGGCAGTACAGGTGGGAGCAGAAGAGAGCTTTCAAGGCCCAAGTACCTGCTAAACACAAACCCACTGAAGTTCTCCATAAGGTTTTGTGCTCTCTCCCTCTGCTTCCTTGGTTGCCATGCTCTGGTACAGCTGTTTTACGAGTTGTCCAACCCAATCCTTCTAACCTATTATAAGAAGGAGAAAAACCCCCCAAACAAGCCAACCACTCACAAAAAAGCCCCCATTTGTTTAAGTGCTTCCTAAAAACTTTTTTCTGTGAAAAGGATGCAAAGTCAGGCAACAAGCACAACAGAAATACAGGTGTTTATTGCCATAAAGGCTGCATCACCTAGCATTCACATACTGTGAAGTGGAAATATATTGTCAGAAATTATTAGAAAAAAAATAATCAGTTCTTGTTACTATCACACCAGAGGCTAAGCACTTCATAAATTCAATATACATAATGCTTAACTTTTGCTTATTTAACAGTGAAATCTCTCTCTAGATTAGGTTATTACCAAGCTATTTAGGTGAGAATATAAAACATATCCTCCCTTAGGTTCTAATAAGGTTCACTTAGAAGAGAGAGCACATT